GTCTTTAACTCTGGGGAAAGAGCTGGTGGAGCCATCTGTGGGTTTTGGAGAGCATCTCTGCTTGTAATTATTTTTCCTGGAGCCACCTTTGATGAGGCGAAGGCCCATTGTTGTCTCGCCTGGGCTTTCTCATCATAGAGTTTGTCTTGGTGGTGGGTGGTGAGGAGCAGCAATAGCATGATGGGTCTCAGAAAAACAGAGTGGATTTCTTCACAAACAATTGGATGAAGGAGTTGGCTCCCAGGATGATGCTCAGTTTGGTCCTTTGCAATATTTGGCCACAGAGTTCCCCATGATGGGGGTTAGATTTTTGTCACTTCTCCCCATTCCAAATGTTAGGGAGCTGTCAGAAACTGGGCAAAAAAAGAGAATGGGCACTTTCTCCTCATGGACAGGAAGTTCTTGCCCCAGAATAATGAGTAAAGATGAAATCATCGTAATCCCTCTAAAGCTGTAGTTATTTGGGTTAATTACCTCAATGGACAATGAGAATTACCAAAAGGGTTAAATTAAATCCAATTTAACAACTGAAGGAGAGTTTGATGTTACAAGAGCACTAGACAAGGAGCTGAAAACCCAGGTTTTAGACCAAACTTTGTCATTTATTTATTGGATAATTTTAGGTGGGATCCTTCCTCTCTTGGTGTTTAAGTTTCTTGACTTACAAAATGTGGCATTCTGAATAAATTATCTATAAAGATCCCTTTCCTTCTCACAGTCTACCTTTTGCATATTTGTAAAGCACCAACCGTGAGCAGGGCGGTGTTTTGGGTCCTGCAGAAGAAGCAGAGGCACATACTGTCACATACTGTAGTGTACACTGTCGGTGTTTTTGCAAAGACCTGCCGTTGCATTCAGTTCAAACAGAAATGGTTATGTATTAGGCCAGCCAATCATTGCCAAAAGGAATTGGCTTTATATGAATAGAATGTTAGCAATTAGAACATTAATTGTTTAAAATGCAAATGCTTACTTCTAAAGTGCTTAAAAGAACCACTTCTGCTAAACAGGTTGAGCAATCCCCTTGCAATTGCCTTTATCCTTTTCAGTTGTTCAGCTAGTGCTCTTTCATGGAATGTTCCTATAACTATTTATGATTTATGCTCTGTCTCCTCCAAAAAAGGATTTGCGGCAGCTTAAAGCAGAAAACACATACAAACCATGGCAATTAAAATTTTAAAAAGGAAAAATAAAAGGCAACAAAAAGCGATTATAAAAGAAGAGATGGGCTTTTAAATACCTGGATGAGTTAGTTTCTGTACTTGATTCCCAGGTTGACTGCACTTCCTTTGCTCTCAAAACACAAAGGTGGCGAGGAGGATACAGAGTACAGACATTCCATAAATGCAATCAAGCACTTACTATGTGCATAGTCCTATGAAAAACTGGGATTCCTTCCCTGAAGTGCAAGTGGAAAGATAGATAATAAACAAACATTTAGGATGCTATGCGATTAATATACATTTTCAGTGGTCTCCAAACTATTTTGACTAAGTACTTCTACCAGAAAGATATTATGGGAAGGTATTCTTCTAATGTGTATATTTATTTGTATATAAATTATATATTTAAACTACTCTACTAAGATGTTATGTACCTCATGAAACATACACAAAAGAAATGAATATTTTTGGGAAAAAATAAACACAAATTGTTCTAACAATTTGTTTCTTCCGACATTCTAATGGTGTGGATCTATTTATATGGAATGTTTAAAAGCAGAACATTAATTGTTTAAATGGTAAATAATTGAACGAATAAGTGCTAATAAAGTACTTAATGAGGATGTCTTCTAAGTGGGCAAGCCAATTCATCTGCAATTCCTTTTTCCCATATAAGTTATTTAGCAAATGTCTTTAAAAAAAAAAAAAAAAACAAGTTTAGATGTATAACAAAGTTGCAAACGTAGTAGAAAGAGCTCATATATACCCTTCCCAGCTTTCCCTAATGCTAACCTCTAGCAAATGTCTTTTTAAATAGACTGTTTTTACCTTGAGCTAACCCTGGGATATCTGCACCCTAATCCTTTTTGGGGACAATTATAAAGCATTAACTTTTTTCCTTATAATCTATTTTTTATATAAACATTTAACTAAAGTGTAACATGCATACAGTCAAATGCAAAAATCTTGAGTCTCCCAAGGCCAAGGGTAGATCCTTAGGAAGTATGCTCACGGAAGTACCCACTAAAGCCTCTAGTGGACTCTGCTCCCTGTGGACCACTAACAGTGAGACCGTAGCCTAGAAGGTGAAGCTTTAGCTCTCTTGTTCAAGGCCTAACTCCAAAATCTCGAAAAATGTCCTGGAGTGCAGAATAGGCACTTAATAAAAACTTATTAACTGAATGAATGAGAAAAAAAATTTTTCTAAGTGTCATAGAAAGTGGAGAGAGACTAAATAATTATTTTTCTGTTACATGTTCAAATGAAAAAGCAGGGCTTTTTTAGTCACAGAAAAGGAGCAGATACCAATTTTTGACATGTTTAAAGAATTACAAATTAGCTGGCACCATAATTCCAGCTTATTCCAGTGATTGTTTAGAGTTCTTTATAAATGAGTTCCCTGAGCAGCTGCCTCCCTGGCCCATACCTTACCCTGGGTTAGGTACCCATGAAACTAGTGTGTGTGTGTTTGTGTTTGTGTATGTGTGTGTGTGTATGTGTTTCTGTCAGAGCTTAGCTCACATGGAAGGGATTCTTCTTGTTCTCAATTTACTGGTGCCTGGGGTTCTGGCAATCTCCCAGGATAGAAACCAAGAGATAGCACCAAACACAGCAGCAAAGGTAAGTTTAAATCTATCCCAGCTTGTGCACAAGGGAGCTAGCATTGAGAGAGGAAAAAGGAATGAGCTGCTTCCCCAGGGTAGGGTGTGTGGGGGTTAGTTTTATAGGATCTCTTCATAGGAAAAAACTGCATCGGGCATATGTGAGGGAAGTTTTCTAGTGCTTGTGCAGTGGCTCAACATGCTGCTTCATACACTGTATGTAGCGTTAGTATTGTAAATCTCCAGCCCTGGGTGTGAATTTTAGCATTAGAATGAGGAAGAGGTAACTTTAGGTTAGAGTTGAAGTCTAACTGGTGTGTGGGGGTCCAGAGAAGTCCCTAGCTGCCTGAAATAGGAGCTTGCAGTTAATAGCTTCTTAGGTCTTTCATTGCTGATTGGCTGTGAGTTAGATACGCTAGAGCCTGAGTAAGGGACTTTGATCCTTTTCCTCCAGATTATTTTGAAACAGGGAATCAACCAGCCTGCCTGTCCCCAATTGTTCTCTCTCTCTGAACTTTCAGAACTTTCCATCTGTCCCAACCATCCCATAATTGCATTGTCTTCTAACACCCCTGCAGAATCTTGCTTGCGTAGTAGGTAAGGCTGTGTTAACTTGGTTTCCTGTGTGCGATGCTTGGCTCACCAACTAGATAGTGAGCTCCTTGAATATAGGCCAGTATCTTCCCATCTCTGATGTCTTGCAGATATTATCACACGGTGAAGTCAAGATGCCAGAGTTTCCAACTGTCATGTATCCTGGAAAGGTGCTGCAGTGAGACATCATTAGCTGGTCAGTCAATAACTTTCAGCAGACATGCATTGAGTGCCTACTGCCTACAAGGCAATGTTCACTGCCCTTGTGTGTGTGTTAGAGGGGGTGGTCAGGGAGGGTCTTTCTGATAATTGAACCTGTGAGCCGAGACCTGAATGAAATAAGAGAATAGGTTATGAGGATAGCTGCAGAAGAGTAGTTAAGGTAGCAAGAATAGCATGTTTTCACTCATAGGTGGGTGTTGAACAATGAGAACACGTGGACTCAAGGAGAGAAGCATCACACACTGAAGACAGTTGGGGGGGTTAGGGGAGGGACAGCAGGGGGTGGGGAGAGATAACATGGAAGAAATGCTGGATATAGTCAAAGGGGGAATAGAGGCAGCAAACCACCTGGTTATGTATGCACCTATGTAACAACCCTGCATGACCTGCACACGTACCCCAGAACCTAAAGTAAAATTTAAAAAGAATAGCCAGTGCAAATGCCCTGGGGTGAGAATGAGAAAGCCAGTGCTGGGCTATTAACACCTTCCCTTAATGGATCTATGAGAACCCTTCTTCTCTTTGCACTTCAGAGTGGGCACCAGTCCATTAGTTGAGTTCATTAAACAAGATTTCCAAGCTAACATTTTTGTTAGCTTGTCGTTAGAAAGAACTTTATGGAAAAACTACTTTTTAATGGAGAAAACACATTTTCACTCGTGCAGCTGAGACAAACACTCTCCTCTCACATGTTTCACTTCGTTTCTCCCCTACCCCCTTCACTCACACACACTTCACTTGTCTTTATTTTAGAATCATGCTAAGTGACATTTTATGAATGTGTTTAACACAACCATGGAGCCAGGGTCAGCATTAACAACTGCTCAAGTGGCCTAGGTTGAATAATGCCAGTGGCCCTTGCCGTTCTTCCCTCCCCCTTCCACACACGTACTCCTGAAGGTCCTGAGATCGCTGCACTAGATGTACAGTGGTCACTCCTCTATGTGACCTATTTAATCTTTTTCAAGATTGCCTGGGTATGTGCTAGACAGAGACACCTAGTGAAGTGGCCTTTCCACTGAATCTTGGGATCCACCAGGTATCACTAGAAGTTTTTCACACTGGATTTTAGATCTCTGTATCTTCAGGCATGATTTTCTGTAATCTGGAATAATCTATTCGTTTGAATTACAAAGGAACATGTGGTTTTGGTTTGTTTACTCTTAGGTCATAAAATGATAATTTAGCAGTTAATGAGCAAAGCAAAAGACCTTCTTTTCATGGCCAGGAACTTTTTGGGAGCCTCTGTTTTCCATAGCAGTCACTGGCCCTACACTGACTCTGAGCTGGCCCCATCCCTGAAGGCACAGCAGTCTTAATGGGATTAGGAAAATCATGACTGGCAGGGCTTCTGTGGGATGACTTCCCAGCACAAATGTTCTGCCTCCCTGGATCCAGCCCAGAGACTTGCCTTGGGATCGGACAAGAATGAAAGGCAAACCAAAGGCCATAAACTACTTCACTATATTTCCTACAAATGCTGGGGTGTCTGTTATTCTGCACAGTTGGGTGCATTAAGCAAATTCTCTTTTTTCAGGATGACTGAAGCTGAATTTCTATTTATTTTTGTTTATGCATCTCTGTTCAACCAGGATCATATCCTCAACTCCCAAAGAGGAGCAGGCCCCCTCTGCCATCATGCTTAGCCTAGTCACCAGCCTGAGGCTTGCCTAGCCACTGGATCTTCCCTTTGCCTTGCTCCTGGAGTGCAGAAGTTTGATATTCTCTTTCATCTGACTCCTAACATCACTTCTCTGTATTGACTGTGGGGCTCTTTTTTGGCTTGGATTTTCTCTTTGTTAAGGTGGGTAGTTCTTTACCTTTCAGGAGTCATGGATTCCTGGACCATCTCTCACCAAAACTGGCCATGTAAAATTTTACAATTGCATGGAGTATGAGGATTGGGCTATGAATTCCAGCTTAAGCAGTCCTAAAATTAGTCTTGCTTTCTTTATTTACAGACCTTGTGGGACCACAGAAAGAAGAAAACAGTCATGCAGGGGACCTCACTTCCTGCCTTTCCCAGCTGATGTTGTTGGTATGAGTTTCCTGTTCCTGCTACAGTATGTTACTGACAAACATGGTGGTTGAAAACAATACAAGATTGTTGTCTTATAGTTTGGGGGTTAGAGGTCCTAAAATCAAGGTATCAGCAAGGCTGCATTCCTTCTGGAGGCTCTAAGGGAGAACCTGTTTCCCTGCCTTTGCTGGCTACTGTAGGCTGCCAGCACTCCTTGGCTTGTGGCCCCTTCCTCCACCCTCCCAGACAGCAGTGCAGCATCTTCAAACCTCTGTCGCTGAACTCTGGTTCCTTTGTTACATCTCCTTTTCAGACTCTGACTTTCTTGTCTCCTTCTTTCCCTTAAAAGCACTCTTTTGATTAAATGGGCTCTTCAGGATGATTTCCCACCTCAAGATCCTTAACTGAATCACATCTTCAAAGTTCCTTTTGCCATAAAAGGTCACAAATTCGTAAGTTTCAGGGATTAGAACATGAACTTCTTTGGGAGGCTACTATTTTGCCTGCTATACTATCCTTAAGCCTCTCCTCCTGGGAGGTCTCTCTTTAGACCATTCAAAATCCACATCACAGGAGGCTGAATCGCTTACCCACTCAGGCCCCATTTTCTCTCTCAGGAATTGCTTCTTGCCCTGGTGAATGACAACTCCCTGCTTCCTGCCCTTGGACACTGCCCTTCCTATGGGGGTGAAGGCCTTTGCCTGCCTTATGGATAACTATAGAAAGACAAATGGCAAGGCCAACATCTAATCAGCACAAACACACACCTGGCAAATGGTGTGTCTTTCCTATCATCAGCTAAGATCTCAGCAACAGGGGAAAGAGAAAGGATTGGTTATTCTGTATTTACTGTGTGTCAGCTCTCTCATTGACAGAGACCATGTCTTGGGGTCCCATCCAGGAAGAGGGGTTGGAGAACAATGCTGATATGACCGTACAATTCTTCTCCTCATCACTGCAACTTCTTTTCCCTGTATGACTTTAACTCCTTTTCCTACCTGATTCAGTGATCACAGACCAGAGCTGTAACTGGATGCCAGAGTAGGGATAAACCCTAAGCAAGAAACTGTAACTATACTGTTGAACTTTTATGTTAAAATTTCCAAGTGCCTGTCGGGGTAGACTGTGCTTTCAGCCCATCTGGCAAAATTGGTCTTGATGATGAATGCAGATATATTACTGACCAGTGGTCAAAATAGCCCACTAGTTCTGTATGTTTGTAAATTCACCCTATTAAACAGAAGTGAATTGAGGCAGGCACCTGCTAGACCGGTATGGCTATCAGCAGTGTGTATCAGCACAGTGCCCAAACCAACAGCCTTTCCAAAGATAGAGAAGTTCATATAAAAACCAATGATAGGCCAGGTGCTGTGGCTCATGCCTGTAATCCCAGCACTTTGAGAGGCTGATGGGGCAGGATCCCTTGAACCCAGGAGGTTGAGACAGTCTGGGCAATCTAGAGAGACCCCATCTCTATTTTAAACAAAAATCAATGATAAATGGATAGAAGGAAGAATAGTAGCTGAGGGCAAATGAGTGAGTAGGTAGATTGTGCAACAAGGGAATTCCAATATTACAATGGTGCTTGTTAGAGATGACATTGTCTTTTAGCCTCATACAAATGCCTGAGAGGATGAAGTCATGTGTTGCAAAAACCACTCCTGCTTTTGGGAACATGACAAGGCTGAATGGAAACCTGCACACCTAAGTGGGTGGCATTACTCTGGGTGAAATTTCGGTCATATAATAGGATCATGACCTGGACCAAATTGATAATAATTGAGTCAGATTCTACTAATGTGCCTGTATCTTTTTACTTACTTTTCAGGTTACATCTGCAATCATACTGCCATATGGTGTAGCACTGGCATCATAAGATTCAGTCCCCTTATGTGAATAAGTCTAATGATGGTACTGCTGTTGATGATCAAATATATTAGGAAATTAAGTGAAAGCCTCCTCAGGATGTTATACTGATGGAAAACTATTGGCCTGAGGAAACACTAGATTTAGTGAATCATCATTTAATTGCTATACTAATAGTTCTGGTCAGGTACAGCAGATATTATGGCTCACACCTATAATCCCAGCATTTTGGGAGGCTGACGTGGGAGGATCACTTGAATCCAGGAGTTTGAAGAGACCAGCCTGGGCTGTATAGTGAGATCCTGTCTCTACAAAGCCTAAAAGAAAATTAGCCAGGTGTGATGGTGTGCACCTGTGGTCCCAGCTACTTAGGAGGCTGAGGAGGAAGGATCACTTGAGCTTGAGCTCGGGAGATGGAGGCTACAGTGAGCTGTGATCTCCAGCCTGGGCAACAGAGATCCTGTCTCTAAAACCAAAACAAAACAATAGTTCTGCATAAGTGTATCATAAGATATGTATAATAGTAGAACAAGTTATCATATCAGGACAAAAATATGAAAAGGTATGTCATGCCTGTAATCCCAGCACTTTGGGAGGCTGAGGCAGGTGGATCATGGGGTCAAGAGATTGAGACCATGGTGAAACCCTGTCTCTACTAAAAACATACAAAAATTAACTGGACGTGGTGGCGTGTGCCTGTGGTCCCAACTACTTGGGAGGCTGAGGCAGGAGAATGGCTTGAACCTGGGAGGCAGAGGTTGCAGTGAGCTGAGATTGTGCCACTGCACTCCAGCCTGGCTCCTGGTGACAAAACAAGACTCTGTCTCAAAAAAAAAAAAAAAAAAAAAAAAAAAATAGAAAGAAAAGAAAAGATATGTAATGACTTTCTAGATAGATACATTGATTCTTTTTTAGAATTTAATTGAAAATAAAAATTGTATATATTTGTTGTGAACAACATGATGTTTTGAAATATGTATACCTTGTGGAATGGCTCAACTGCATTAATTAACATATATATTATGTCACAGAGTATGACTTTTTTGTAGTAAGAACACTTAAAATCTACTATCAGCCAGGTGAGGTGGCTCACACCTGTAATTAATCCCAGCAATTTGGGAGGCTGAGGTAGGTGAATCGCTTGAGGTCAGGAGTTCAAGACCTGACCAACATGGTAAAACTCCATCTCTACTCAATACAAAAAATTAGCCAGGCATGCTGGTGCTTGCCTGTAATCCCAGCCACTTAGGAGGCTGAGGTGAGAGAATCACTTGAATCCAGGAGACAGACGTTGCAGTAAGCTGAAATTGTGCCCCTGCACTCCAGCCTGGGCAACAATAGTAAAAACTCTGTTTAAAAAAATAATAAATTAAATTAAAAAATACTCTTGGTGATTTTCAAAATACAATGTATTGTCATTAATGGTAGTCACCATATTGTGTAACAGATCTTTTGAAGTTATTCCTCCTATCTAGCTAAAGTTTTTTGTTTTTTTTTTTAATCTATCGCTACTTCACACTGGGATCTCCAAATGTTAGGCGTGTTCATACTGACCCTACTGCTATGTCTATGATATACATACTATAACAAATGCAGACACTGAAACAGATATGATTATTTTTCCACAAGAGGGTCTTGGCTAAAGTGGGGATTTGGGGCTATGTAGTATCAACTTGACCTCCAGAAAGGCTGGAGACTAAAGGCCAGTACCTGACAGTCACATAGTCAACCACATCTTCATAAACAAATCCCAATAAAAACTCTGGACACCAAGACACAGGTGCCCTTTCCTGGTTGGCAGCACTTGGTGCGGATTGTTACACACTTCTCACGAGTAGCCTGGCTGTTCATGGCTCCACTGGGAGAGAACAGCTCTGCACATGGAGCTCTCCTGGCCTCTGCCCCATGTGTTCTTCCCTTGACTGACTTTAATTTGTATTCTTTCAGCATACTAAACTATAAGTGTATGGTTTTCAGTGAATTCTCTGAGTCCTTCTAGTGAATAATCAAAGGCTTGGGCATCTCAGAACTTGAAGTTGGTGTCAAAAGTGAGAGTGGGTTTGGAGACTCCCTGATTTGTAGGTGCACTTCAACTTTTCCCTCTCTGAAATTTACCCATCCTAAATGCCATTGCTCAGGTACTGCTCTCAGCTAGAGCTAAGTTAATAGCTGACAGACTCCCCTTTGTTCCAGGCCAGTTACCGAAACTTCACAAAGGGCTTAGTGACTTCAACGCAAAGGAGAGGCTGAGGGTAGGGCGATTTGGCTGTGCTTGGCCATGAGAGAAGCAGCATAGGAAAGACTTTATATGATGATAGGTAGACAGTTGCCAGTTTCACTCAAGGTAGGCTGACCTTCAGCAACCTGACTGTAGGACATAAGCGTTATCCAAGTCCCTTGTTTGGTTCAATTACTTCGAAATACATTTTTGCTCATTAAATGAAACAAATTAATGGTGATACTACATCAGTAGTATCAGTATGAACATGCCTAACATTTGGAGGCCCCAGTGTGAAGTTGGGATAGATTTAAAGAAGCAACTTCAGCTGGATATGAGGAATGACTTTAAGAGGTCTGTTATACAACATGGTGACTAACGTGAATAATAATGCATTGTATTTTGAAAATCGTTGAGAGTAGATTTAAGTGTTCTCACTACAAAAAAAGTCATAAATATGTGAGATAATACATTTGTCTCATCTTCGTGGACAATGTTAAACACATCCTGATAGTAACAATAGTAACAGCTATGTTCATCGAGGACTCTGCTGGCTGCATAATGGTTTTCTCATGTAATCCACGCAACAATTCTACTGCTGTGCATTACTCTTAATTTTCTTCCATGGAGGAGAAATGGGGGCAGAGGGAGCTTTAGCGACTTGCTCAAAGGCTGACTCCATCTAGCATTTGCTCCTATAGTGACTCTGCTCCCTGCCTTTCTTGCACTGTGTTACCTCCTCTTTTATGTTTTAGTAGGAGCAGAGAGAGGCACCCAGATGTCAACAGGCTACTCAGTCTGTCTGCCCTGAAATCAGGAAACAAATATCTATGGGTTGATTGACACGAGGAGGCACAGCCCCTGCTATGGGGTGGGGAGTCAAGGTGGAACTGGGACAGTGGAAAACAAACTAGGCTTCTAGAACTTTGCTCAGTGTCAGATTCTTAACCTACAGGATTTCGTTTAATATTTGTATTAAATGGTTTTTAATATGGTTTTAAACTCCATTTTATAGATAAGGTAACATTAACTTCAGGTTACAAACTCCTGCCCCAACTAAAGGTATATCAGGGATTGAATTTGTACCCCCCTCTAAAATTCATATGTTGAAGTCATAAGTCATAATCCCTAGTACCTTAGAATGTACAGGGCCTTTATAGAGATCATTATGTTAAAATGGGGTTGTAAGGTAGGTCCTAACCCAGTATGAGTGGTGTCCTTACAAGAAGAGAAGGCTGGACACAGGCATACAGAGGGATGACCATATGAAGGCATGTGGACAAGGGGGCCAGCTACAAGGCAAAGAGAGGGAGAGGCCAGGAGGCTGGGTTGAAGTCACCCCTGCCAACACCTTGATCTTGGACATCTCGCCTCCAGAACTGTGAGAAAATAAATATCTCTTGTTTAAGCCTCCAAGTCTGTAGCACTTTGTTATGGTAGTCCTAACAAATTGATACAAGGTACAGCAGGGATTTGGACCGAGGTGTGACTAACTCAAAAGCCCTGGCTGGCCCTTTCCATGTACCATGGAAAAGATCAGCCAGAGATGTGGGAGGCAGTTAAGCAGGAGCCAGATAAGTGATGTGCATGGTGATTAGATTTGATGGAGGAAACAGTGAGGGCTAGCATGGCCTCCTGGACGAGATGAGCATTGGGCTGGGTAGGAACATTTGGACGTCTTAGACACAGATGTGTGGTGAGAAAGCAGGAGGACATTTCAGGCCACCGAGTGGCTGGTTTTAGAGCATCCTAGAGCCACCATCCCTGCTGTCTGGATGGACATCTGGCCAGCCAAGCACACATATGGCCATGGTGCTAAGGAATGTTGGCCCTGATTGAGCATGGGGAGATGGTCTATAAATCAGGAGTTTCCTTCATGGACGACTTCTTCCACTCAAGCCCAGAAGAGGACCAAGAACAAAGAAGCTGGCAGCTTCTCATATTTATTAAGAGGCAAAGAGTGTGAGACCAGGAGGCTCTGGCAGAAAAAGGACAGTTAGCCCTAGAATTGGACCCTGGGAAAAGAAAGCTGACAACGAAACAACCACAGGGTTGCACTGAGCATGGGAATAAGGGAGGGGAGGGGTCCCCAGTCTGACACACAATGTATCAAATATAATAAGTCCTGGGAGGCCAATCAAATCCCCTGTCACCCCAACCCCACGCTATGCCAAATAGTAAAAGCAGATGTTTTCCAAACTGGTAACAACTCCGAAGGCTTTTCTGGTGATGGGCAAGAGAGGCAGAGACTGCTGGGGAGTTGGGGGGAGCAGAGAGAAGGCTTTTGGGAGTGGTCCAAATGTTAGTGCACCAGCAACCTCATTCCAAGCTTCTCCAGCAATACAAAAAGAGAGATTCAATTTAGTTTGGGCATGCAGAGAAAATCTATTGCAACATGGAAGAAATTCAAACATGATAGGAGAACAAAGTAACATTTCAAATTGCTACGATTGATACAGCCCCATTGCCTGACCCATTTCTTTCAAATATCAAACTGACAGGACCAGATGTAATACTTCAGAGTGGTGGGGAGGGGGTGTGGAGAAGGCACCCGTTATACCTTTGAAAATTTAGTCTCCTCACGGTTCATTCTGAACTTTTGGCTTTCCTTTCCATAGCAGGAGAAACCACTCCTAGCTCCCAATGCATTCTTGGTAAAGGTGATCACTAGGGGTAGCACAAGCCTCCAAAGCAGCCCCGATGTGGTCTCCAGCCTAAAGGCAGCACCCACAGAGCAGGCTATGTTTGTTCCAGCTGGTGCAGGAAGGTGACGACACATTGTGCCCTGCCCAAGACCTTCTTCAAGTAAAAGAGAATCTAAGGCTTTGAAAAGCACTAGAATAGGAGCCAGGTGGCGGCTCGGGTCTAGGCTTTAGGCAATTCATGAATCCTCTCTGCTTTGTTTTCCTGATTTCTCAGATGGGGAAGACATTATAAGAGTTCTGTATTCTTTACAGAGTTTCTCATTCCATCATAGACTCCACCCACATACCTTGTGGTACAGCAGAGAGCACTGCAAAGTCCCTGCTTGCATGAGCATATCTTTGATGGAGTGGCTCATGGGGAACAAATGCATTGTGTAGTTTCGGTGAGGACAGAGTAAGGTTGCAACTCTGGAGCACCTCTGAACTGAGTAGGGGCATGATGTGCCCATGCATGGTCCTGCTCTGATGTCATTGGAGAGCCGCTGAATGAGGAAATCCTTCGAATCCTGGTGTGCAGAAGTGAACTTGATGGAATACTCTCTAAAGGTGAGGAAGAACAAGCAAAAATAAGATGATTGTGCCAGTTTTGTTGTGAAATCTATGGTGATGGTATTTTATGGAAACAATCTGGGCATGTGCAAAATGTTTCATCTTTAATGGCTTAAAACCATTGATCTTCCAGCCATGTTCTCATGTAGGAATGTCATCCTAATGCATGCATTGAGAGCTGGGCTCAAATCTCTATTTGTCATTCTTATTGATGGGAAGGGAAGTGACATTTTTTGGTTAACTTCCATGATAATACAATAATCAAGACTTTTTCTTATGTAATGTCACCTAATCTCATCTAACTCTACAAGGTAGATATTGGTCTACAACTTTATGGATGTGGGATATTCAATCATTTATCTAGAATTTTGCAGTTACTAAGTGGTAGAGTTGATATGTAAATTTTAAAGCTTTTGAGTATTCATTTTAAACTCATCACTCATTTGAGGTGATGAGAATGAGAATTAATAGTGATCCAGGGTG